TCTCACTTCCAACGCACCTTGGATCGTTATGGAAACAGCCTCCTTGTATAATTATAAGGGTAAGGTCTGCGTACAACTGACCCCCCAGACCCCAACCTGTTGGGAATATACTGGGTATGTTGAATAATTAATTCAAATTATATATGTATAAAACTGATATTATTTACAACTTCATATACTTGATTTTTTTTTAAACAAAACAAGTTTTATTGTATTGTGATTATATTTTATATTTATAGAGTCAGTGTCTCACGTCTATTAATTTTTTAAGTATTTTAAATTCATATAATTTATAATTTAGAATTTACACAGAAATGTATAATTCTCTAACTCTATGAATATACAAAATTATTTGATTATATTTGCTTATGATATTCTTTTATATTTACTACTTTAGATAACATAACACCATTAAGTTTTTTATAATCTATTTAAATTGAGAAATAATATTTTATAATATTTATTAAATTTATTTTTGTATTCTTTAATTTTTATTTTTTTCCTAAATTTATGGAAAAAACAATAAAAATGATTATTTTATGGTATATTAATATATTCAATTTTTATTATTTTTATAAAAAAAATTTATATTGTTATTTAATGTATTTTAAATTGAGTTGATAATAAAAATTATTTTCTTTATAAATATAAATAAAAATATTATTTATTTTATATATGAAATATAAATGTCAATCGAAGATCTTAAAATATGATTTGGTAGATCATATATAAAAAATAAAATACAAATAAAAAATAACAAAGTTTTAAAAATAAAAAGAATACATATTTATAATAACTAATATATGAATATAGAAAAACGTAAGATTAGTATATGATAACTTAAGAAAAAAGGGAAGCTAAAATAGTATATAATAATTCTCAAGCCTAATAGTCAAAACCAAACATGAGCATGAGTTAATGTAAAAATAAGCTTTTGAAGCACATGAATTTGCCACTTAGGCTCAACGCATTCGATAACTTATATATAGGGGCGATGAGATTTCCGTGAGGGGCCCTAGAAACCGTCCACCATCTGTTTTTTCCTTTATCTTGAAAGTATGTATGATGCAAAGACCAACGAGTACGAAACCATTTATCAACAGAAGATCAGCCCTTTAAACATGAGGGCTTATGCATGATATGTTTGATGACATTGATCAGTTCATCCATATAAGGAAACATTCTTCCAGCAACCATTATTCACAATAAGATTGTCTTTATCCTTAATCGTGCTGAAAGCCAGCAGTCATATCAGTTAAAATTCGAATAACAAGCCGCCACAATTTACCTAAATCAACTCCCAATCAGATTCAACAGGATCATGAACCAAAAACTTTCCTTCATCAGACTCCATCTCAAGGGCTGGAATCACCACTGTTGAATTGTTCATTCCACCTGTATCCTTATCCTTATGTTGGAAAATACTCTGAGCTTGCTTCCTTTCTGACCTAAACTTTGATGACAGAGCTTTATGGATTCTTTTCTGAAAGAAAAACACACAACATGTAAGAACTTGCATGCCTGAGGGAATAACCCATACAGCGTGTTAAGAAAACAACCTTGTATGACTCTTGCTTTTGCGTTCCTTGAGAAACAAAATTATGCTCATCCTCTTCTACCAAGACGCATGTTTCGTGCAACTTTGGATTTTCTGCTGGCTCTACAGCTTCCTCATTATCAATAATCTCCATGCCAAAGTTATCTAAGGAATAACCCAGCAATGTTGATACAGAAAATAACCCAAAACAGAATTAAGATAAGTTAAAAAGTGAGGTTGAGTTTTGCTTGTAAATATGTATGTATCCGCTAGTTGTCTATGCAAGAAAGAGGGAAGACTGAGTAGATTTTGCAATCAGGTGCGCATATCACGGTAAAACCACATAGGTACCCAGAAAGGCATCAACAAGTCCACCCCAAGATTGCTGAAAGTCCCACAATTGGCAAATTTGTTTCAAACAGAGGGTGATAGGAATCACCCATTGACGAGACTCAGAGACTCATATTCCAAATTCTGTTTTATCTGTTCTTATTAACTTATGTGTATATTGGCTTCTTTTGCTCAATGCTTGGGGAGTGAACTTGTCAATCTTTGGCCAAGAATAATCAAGTCAATGCAGCAATCAGCTCTCAATTCACTTTCTTTTCAGCATAAGGGCAAAGTTCAAACAAGATAAACTTTGTTTTCGGCATTCAACTTGACGAGAAGAAATACGGATACTATCTTCACTGGAAAAGAGTTACCTACCTTCACAACACAAAATAACTTCCTCGGTCTCTGGTTCATCACTGCAAGCACTGTCACCAACATCTGTATTGACATGAGAAAACGATTCATCCTTCCTGGATTTATCTGTGGAAAGTAAAAAAGAAAAAAGGCAGTCTCAGATGCAATCTACACATTCCAATTAGACAGAACAAGTAGATAATCGATAGTGCCCTTCTTCAGAATAATAAGACCTATGTAATAACATCAAGAGCGAAACCAGGTTTTGTTCCACAATACCAGTTTCATGATTAATTTATTTATTTTTTTTTAAAAAAAAAAAATCAAAAAGCATACAATGACAAGAAACCGTTCGAATATCAAAGATTCCCCAAATCAGCTCTCAGTGTCCTTTGCCCTTGCCTCGTATTCTTTCTTTTCTCAGTGATAGAGAAGTGTCTTGTGACATAAAATTTCAAGCAGCACATATCAAGAGTGCCTTACATCTTAATAGTCCAAATTTAACACTATTTTATCTTTCACAAAAAGGCTGCAGTTACTTGATTACAAATGAAAGTTACTAATTCTTATAGAAATAAGGGAACAAATAATTTTTTTAGGGGGAACGAGGGGCGGTGGTGGCAATTACCAGCAGCCAACAATTATAGGTCCGTCCTTGACCATCAAGACGTCATAAGATTTGGGCCCAGAATACAATATCGCATACTACTAGAACTTGAGACACCAATAAGATTCATAATCCAGGTAGTTTTGTTCATTCTTATATCAGTTTCAACCCTGATTTTTTTCAATTACTTTCCCAGGAATACCTCCATCCCCAAAACTTTAATAATGTCATTCCACATTAGAGAATAACTAACACAGGAAAGTGTGAATCTAATTTTAAGAAACTAAAGATACCTATAGAGTTGGTTGTCAGGCCGTGGTAGCATGACGTGCACTGAGAACCATCTTTCTCTTGTCTCATAGAGTCAGCTGATAAAATCTTCTGAGAAGTGCAGAAGGTACAGATGTGGTCTTGTTTCTCTTTCATTACAGATTCAGCCAATTCAACCTTGTCAGAAGAAAGGGAGTGAACAGAACCACCTGACAAAGATGCATTAACATTTTCTGGCTCAATAGGATGATTTCTCACTGAGGGCTCTGAGGATGTTACACTTGTGTCACAGACAAGCAAACGGTTCTTGTCTCCCAATAAAGAAGCCACATCATGACATACTATTGAAGGATGATTGTCCCGAGAAATCCTGCCCATAGGGCGCTTGTAGACTCCTGATCTTTTACTTTTTAAACCATTATAGGCTCTAAAGGATGATCCGTCTTCGCCTAGATCAGATATATTCCGATTTGTGATTTCTTTCTTCTTAAGCTCTTCAAGACTGAATGACATGATTGGTTTAGTTTTGTTTAACTCAGTATGCGAATAAGGGTTCAGTGACAAATCCCCAGCAGCTACTTTTACAGGATCTGCATCACAGGCAGGGAGCAAATCTTGCATTACCTCAGAATAGAACTTCTTTACACTAACACCAACTTTCTGCACTTGATTTTCCATATATTTGACTGTATCCTGTAAATGAACAACAAAATTGTGGGGCACTAAACATGATTTAAACAAATTAATGGCATAAGTTGCAGATTATTAAGCAAGAAAAAAAAAAGGTGACGAAGAAGATATGGCGTGATTGGAAACTACAATTAGTCATATAATAATATCGGATGTTTTTAACATATTCTCCTAATAATTAATAAAACCTGGTTTTGGCCAATATACACTTGAAGATATGGTTTGTCGACGTAGAAATCCATAAATTATTTACAATGTATAACAAGCTTTTCTACTAGGTATTGGATGTGTTCATCCGTTTCTCTAAAGAGGACGCCTATCTGTTCTAGCGCACCATCTAAATCACGGAATAGTTGAAAGCAACGGTTGAGAGATGGTTGCAGTAGTAACTCCACAATGTAACTCTAGACTAATAATGTGCCATTGAAAGAATAAACTTTGCCGGTCCCAACTTGGGGACATTGTGTTAGACTTCAGAAATTCATACAGGTCACATAGAATATGTAGATAAGAAATCATTTTATAAATAGTAAATTTATGGAAGACGTTGAAAAATATCATATAAATACGGCTCGTATTGTGTCCCCTCTGAAATTAGTTTCACCTTACAAAATTCTCCTTCTCACAACAAAATATGATTCCTATGAATAGGGACGGAGGGAGAGGGGGCCCAGGGGGCCCATGGCCCCCCCTGATTTTTTTAAAGCCAATATATATATATATATATATATAAAGAAAATTCTATAAAGTATGTATAAAAATGCAAAAAGACATTTATAATATATTAATAATTAAAACTTATTTTCTATGTTATTTTAATTTAAATTAATAATATTAAAAGATGTACTAAAAATCATTATTTTTACATTTCCAAATAAGTTTAGGGAAATATTTATAATGATTTAATCTCTCGATCCCTTAATTGTAAATCGATTTTGTGATTTATAAAACTGGGTATTTTTGGTTGGATTGTTACGTTATTAAATGTTGAATTTTACCCTATTTTGTGTAATCACATATTTTTTACTTTATTTATTTTTTTTCTTAAAAATGTTCACAAAACGTACTTCTATTTATTGACAATATTTGATAAGCTCTTATCAACAAAATGTTATGCAATGAGCTGCAAAATTTTAATTTAAATCAATTTTTCCACAAAAAAAATTTTACTTTTCCATAAATTATAGTTGTTGAACTTAAATTGCAAATACATGAAATATCATTTTTTTTCTTAAAAAAAAGTTTGAGAGAGACGAAATCTAAAAGTTTTCAAAAATTTGATTTTACACATGTCGATATTTTTATTTATAGTAAATACATTTTTATATGAAATGAGTTGTTTCGATTTAAACTATAAGCTCGTTATTTGACATTAAAAATAG